CGAATATACTAGCCATTTCAGCTGTGGCTGCGTTATAATGTTACAGTCGATTCCACTATTCGTTGGTAAAGAGTAACTCGAGAGTTTGGGATGGGTTGTGTTGACCAGCTTCTTTTCTTGTAACTTATAACTTGAAGACTAGTGACGGCTATAGAGCAGAAATCCCCCTGAGTAACTTTGCACGAAATCAGAAACTTCTAATATCGCTTGATTTGAAATATACTGAAATTTAAGGTTTTTAGCTGCCAGAGTTCTCGTATCTTCGAGAAATAATAGCAATTTATTATCTTTTCAATACAAATAAAGTTTTTCTTTTTTAACTTTCTGAAAAAACGTAGCCATGCTGAACCATTTTGAGATTATCATTGTTAGATCTTCACAGCTTCAGCGCGTGGCCATATTATGAAAGATTATTGCACGTGCTGATCGTTTAACAATATCAAGAAATCACTCTTCTAAGAGCGAAACCTTTACTATGAGAACTTGGAATTGGTATATTAACGTGAAAGACTTGGCTTGTACATTTATGCAGACTTCTGTATTGATATAAAGCGTCATCTCTCAATGCAGAATAAACTATTTGTTACGAGAATATATTTTCTGTTGACTTGGTGATATTTCTAAAGGCTTAGAGCTATTTAACCTTAGTTATAAACAATAGTATTTTCATTCACAGAAGGTATTTTGTTTTCTCATTTCAAACTATGTAAAATAAACACATTTTGACTTAGTTTTATTATTTTTAAGTAATCGGCATTAAATCTAAACACTTGCTTTCCAATATAAAATTAATTTAATGTTAAGCTTCTGGACGAAACAGTCTTACAGGTTATCTTATTGATAAATTAAAGTTCAATATTTAATGTTCCAGAAATATCATCGTAATAGGGAAATAATTGAAATTTTTAAGATAAGAAACACACCAGCTTCTACTAGTACACGTATCAATACACCTGTAATGTATTGTGTGTTTTTATGAGCAACAATAATTTTATGTATTTTATGATATTAATCGTGTACGTCAACTGAATCAAAATGTTGCGTTTCTGAGGATTTGTGATATTCTGATACGATGTATCGTAGAATAACTATGAGTAAAATATGTATGTATAGCAGGTGGTATGACGACATGATCAAATAAGAACGATTACTTTCCCTCACGTACCTAATAGTATTGTTGTAACTTGTTCTATCCTTGGGCTGATTTTTTTCTTTTCTTTGATTGTTTGGTAAAAATAATACGAAGTTCGATCCACATAACGATAACGGATTGGTTTATTTCTTCCTCAGAAAACACATTAACGTTTGCTATATTCACTTTTAGATGTAGGCCTAAGTGCACAAACAACGTTTCTACCGGAATTCAGAAACTAATTGTAATTACGCCTGAATTCACAAATAAAATTACTTTCATAATTTCCTATAATCGATCGAGTAGCTGAATACACTTGATAAATCTCACATCTAACACAGAATATCTATTCTGACACTGAGCTCATAAAACCACTAGATAATCATTCAGAACTCACTGTCGTTAAATTGGGATTTTGAGAAAAGTGGAACTCTTTTTTTTTATCCTCTTTGACATTCCAATCAAAAGTCCAGGACCGCTAATGGCTTGAATACTAAAGAGACGGACCTCAG